GTCAAGCTTTGTTAAAAGCAGGATAATTCTCATACTTTGAATCTATAATTTGCTGGCAGCTATGAAAACTTATGACTCAGTTCTACAGAAACTGAAGACCGGAAAGAAAAACAAAAACAAAAAAACAAAAAACACACAATAATAATAAAGACTTTATTTCAACAGGGTAGCCCTTTCAGCAACTAGGCTGATATCCATAGGGGCCCTGCATATAAAACAATAAACTAATTACAAACTATAAAAATATATACTTCACTATAAAATCTGAAAAAATCCTAACTAATATTTATATAAAATTTAAATTTAAGACTAACATGTACCTAGAAAAAAAAAAACTATATATGTTATATGTCTAAAAAAAAACGAAACTTTTAAGCTAAGTAATACTTTTTTAGGCGACTCTTAAAAATACTCAAAGATGAAATATCCTTTTAAGGATATTAAAATATCTCTAGGTAGTGTATTGAACATAAGAGATCCTGTATATTTAAACGTTTTCTTACCTAAGCTTAATTTAGGTAAAGGTAAGTGCAGGTCATTTTTTCTTCTAGTATTATATGTATGAAAACTACTATTCCTTATAAAGAAATCACTAAGATATGAAGGAACTAGGCCATGAAGGCATTTAAATACTAATATGCATTTATGCATTTTTCTTGTCTTGGCTAAGTCTACCCATCCCAATATTTGTAGAGCTTCCTGAGAACTCTCCCTATTTATAATAATACGAGCTGCCCTATTTTGCAATCTTTGGAGTCGCTGCGGCTATTTCCAGCTGAGAGTTCCCCCCAAACTTTATCTGTATAATGAAGTATTGGCAATATCAAGCACATTTGGACGCTTTTACTGTTAAACAAGATCTTATGCGAGAAAGCAAACATAATCGTTTGTTAACCTTTTTGCACATTGCATCAACGTGTACATTCCAATTTAAACTTTCATCTAAATAGATTGCTAAATACTTAAATTCTAAGACTCTATCAACGTTCTTTCCTTGAAGCTGGATTCTAAGTTCTGCTCCTTGCAATCTTTGCCTTGTACCAAAAAGCATCAATTTGGTCTTGCTTGGATTTAGTATTAATCTGCTGCTTGTCATCCAATTCTCCAATCTCTTCAAATCTTGCTGGAGAGTTTCTTCTACAACACTTGCGTCAGCCCCAGATATTTTCCAATAACATGTTTTAATTCAACTTCGTTACAACATCTAATGCGCTATGATAATTATACCAATGAAGTAGCACCAGTTATATATTGCTAAATAGTAAATAGTAAATAGATTAAAAAATCAAAAACAAAGGATCTAGTTTTTGTGCTATTCTACTAGGTATATCGTGTAAATTTTACTGTAACTGAATTCCCAATATGTCATAAATAACGCTTTTATGTGATAGACTTAACGAAGACAATACCATGGGTGGAACACATACCAAGCTCGGTATAAATAATGAACACTTTTTTTGAATGCAATTTTTGTTTAAATGAAAATAGACATTTCCGGGCTTACTTTGCTGTAGCTCGCCATCCTTACGGAACTCTCTTCTCATGTTTGATACTACCACCAAGTTGTGTGGTGCAGGAGGGAATTGTCCTTCGATTTTCAGCGCTTGACTACAGCCATAGCATTTTTGCACCCTTGCATCACAGTTCTGAAGCAAGCATACCTCAAATGATCCTAGGGCGGGTTTTGGTTTATACTTGTTTCCTTGTTGATGTTGTGGTTGGCCTACTTGTTGTTGCCCATGTTGTTGTTGCTGCCAAGGCTGTAGCGACTGCCAAGGTTGTAGCTGTTGCCATGGCTGTTGCTGATGTTGTTGTTGCCATGGTTGTTGCTGACTATGTTGTTGTTGCTGACCATGCTGTTGTTGGTGTTGCCATGGTATTTGTAGTGGTTGCCATGACTGTATTGGTTGCCATGGTGGCTGTATTGGCCCTTGCTGCGGTGGTACGCCTGACGTGGATGACCATTGGGTGTGCCGCTTGGTGACAACTTCAACCTGGCTGTTAGTGCGTGTGACACTTCCCCAACGCTTCGCTGCAGTCTTGCTTCCCGAATTCTTTGGTGCTCCTGTAAGCAACATTTTTGTTAAGTTCGTCTCACGCTTAAGGCTTTTCCTCCATTTAATAAACATTTCGAGCTGTCCTATTCTCTCAGCAACTGCAATTGAATGGGAACATATTTGTTTTCCACGCCACTGTGGGCATTGATCGTCACATTCGACTTTTCCGTTCTTTTTTAAAACAACAAAATGGGGTCTTCCCGAGTGGCTTTCGACCACAAATGTATCTTTTTTAGCATTTCCTGGAGCGGAGACTATCCCATCCCCTTTAAGAAGGTTTTCAGCCTTACTTATCACCCCTTTCACTGCTTCTGCGGGCATGCTTCTTAAAGAGCTGACCATCTCCTCTTGCTCCATTGAAAGCCGGGTACTCTTTTGATTAACGGAGTTAACGAAGTTGTAATCTTGATATTGGGGAGTGGTTTGCAGCTTCTTTTTTGAAACGCCTCGAAATTCAAAAACGAGCCTCTCTCTTTCTCTTTGTTGAAGATTGTGCCATCTCGTGGATTCAATTGCTAGATGCTGACAGCAGTCAGCGAGTACATATTCCCCTGCACCATATATTGCCTTTTCTCCTTTTAAGTTTTGGTTTTCGACCAGCGTTTGCAGCTTTCTGGTAAACTCAGGCCAAGTGCTTTTGGAATGTTCCACCCAGGATTTCACTTTGCTGTTTATGCTCTCGTTACCGTTATCCGTGTAAAGCTCCGGAGGATGACCGTCTTGTGGAGGTCGTAAACCAGCCAATGTTCTAACTGATGCTATTAATGTTTCTTTAAAATTATGGGCATGCTCCTTTATAAACCACTTGTGAAAACCTGGTATTAGTGCATCCCATTTTTCTTTCAAGCTGTTGAGCTGTGCGTCAAATTCTTCGGCGGTTTCTGCGTCTATAAGTCCCGATGAAAGTACACCGCCTGAATAGTTTTGGAAAATATCCTTTATCAACTCACTCTTGATATCAACGTTCACTTTGAATTTATTCTGAAGTTTTGCTTCAATATTGCGCTGTTTGTGCAAGTAGCACCGCAAACCTACTGAATTTGGGAAGTTGTTTAATAAAGCGTTGAGCAGGGCAACTTCCCCATCTGTTCCATATGCCTTAATGTTGTCTAATAGTGGTTCCAGAGACCTTATTGAATGAAAAAAAAAATCGTAATTTTCTGTCTCTTTCTTTATGTGTACAAATGACGGGCCAATGAATACGGGATGCTTTTTTGTTCTCGGATTGATCAAGAGTGGGTGTCTGTAATTGGTTAAAGTCACGTAAAAATTTCCTAAGTTAAAAGTAGGGTCTATTCACCACACAGACTGGGAGTATGAGCCGCCAGCACAAAATCGTGCGACATCTCTCAGTTGCTGTTCAGTTGATAAAACCAGTTCGGGAGTATCAGGAAACTGTACTTTTCTTAGAAACCCTTTATCCGGCTTTTGCTGGTCAATCTTTAGCTGTTCTAACAACTCGTTCATTTCGTCTTGTGTCTCTTTTTGTTTGTCTTCATTATTTAACTTTAAATTGTAAATTTGCTTCATGTTGCGGGGCTCTTTTGACATTGTTGTAGACCCCAACAAGCCCCCAGCTGATTTATATACAGCAGCGCATGCTTGTTTTGGGGCCATGTTAGCTGTTTTATCCTTCAAGTCTGCCAGTGTCGATGGCGCAGTTCTAAAGTAGGGTTTAGAACTTGACTTTTTGGCATTATTATGTGGAACCATGGAAAGAGTAACCTCGTCATTGTTTTTAAAAAAATATTGCATGACAGCAAACTGCTGTAACTGGCCGTTGGGGCTGTATACCCTCGACATAATTCTCTGGAATATTACCCCCTGTTTGATCTTTGTCGCTTTGTGGGTTCCATATTGTTTAATAAGAGTGTAGGCTCCTCTAGTTTCTGAAGTCGATACTGCAGATTTAACTGTTGTCCCTTTAAAAGTCAATTTGTATTTTCTGCGGGGAGTAGCTATTTCCCATGCACCATTGTCATCCGCAGATAGATCTTTGAAATCAGTTTTGTTTAGATCAACTAAAAACGTGGCATTCTTCTGCACCCCTGTCGGTCACGGACGACAAATAATGTCGGTATTATGTGGTTCAAGTATTGCCTTAAATAGTTCTTTTACTGTAAGGCCTTCTGATTTTTCGCAAAATATTGGGAGGTCTTTTCTATCATTAAAAAAAGACACCACCTTAATCTTTCTTTTGAACCCAAGTCGAAGGCAACAGTTCATAAATGACCGATTATAATCATATTAGTTGCTGCAAAATTGCCCACGTTGCGCGAGCATCTTTTAGTGATGTACCTTAGAGTTGATAACCAGAGCTGGTGCCAAAAGTTCATCCTCACTTAGGCTGTTGTCATTATCCTAGAAAAATAAATAACTCTGGCTAATGTCGTTTGGTTCTAAAATTATGTTTAGTCGAAGGCATTAATATATGACCAATTTCTATTGGTTGACACGTAATTCACTAACTGTTGCTGCAAAATTGCCCGATCTTGATGTCTGTAGTATCGTATGGAAGCATGATATAGTTTACAAAGCATACAAAATAGTTTAGTTATGTACCTTTGAGTTGGTACCAAAAGTTGATGCCAAACATTCGTCCTCGCTGAGGGTATTGTCGTKATCATTGTCCTGTGAGAATATATATAATCTTACTTGTATGCAATTAACATATAACCATAATACCGTTTGCCTTCAAAATACTGTAAAAAGGATGCGAGATCGAGATATTGTCAGATATTTGCTTACCTTTAATGACCTGCATCATCTTCGGTGCTCTGCTGGAACGCAGAGTAGTCGACTTTAGCTGTACTTTCCTTAACGGACTTGTACCCAGCGGTTACTTCGGCGTAGCTCATAGTTATAATACACTAAATTATATGCTTTAAACTTTATAAAGTTGCAATAAATACGGCCGGCACAGTAGAAACGAAAAGTATGAACACGTTATAAGAAGTAGTGAATAGCGGTATCCAATAGCTTGATATCCACGGGTGGTTTGACAATTTCGGACGTCCCATCCCTCCCCGTGTTTTCGTCTTTGGATTGATCGAGCGACCGCCAACAGAGTAACTTTTGCATCATATCCATCACCACCACAGAAACCAAGTTTGGGCTACCTGTGTCACCACCAGCAATATAAAGCCAGGCTCCCATGTGGCCGCCCGCAATGTGTGCAAGGTGATGACATAAAACTTTCCAGATATACGATTTTTAAAACATTGTAAACTGGTCTTAAATGATGTCAGTTGCTCTCAAAATCAAAAGATTCATTAATCTACTACTTTTAACTATTATATTGAAAAGTATTTGTACACTGGTGTTTCGTTTTGGTACTGTTTCGGTGTTTCGGTGTTTCGGTGTTTCGGTGTTTCGGTGCTTCGGTGTTTCGGTGTTTCGGTGTTTCGGGGTTTAGCAACACCCTATTTGATCATGCATTTCAGTTTAATTGTAGAAGGGCCATAATGGAAACTACTGGGTTATTACCAGTAATGTATGTCACCCTCATTAAATAAAGTCAATTTATTTATTTTATTTTATTTAAATATTCGTAACGAAAATCACAAAATTAAATTAGCTTGCACACGTCATACGACTCTTCCTCAATTTTATTTATTTATTTTTCATTTTCAGTTCATTCTACAGATGTTTCTGGGCTACCAACAATCATACGCGCCGTAGGGCAGGATGTAGTGTTCATGTGGAACGTGACGAATGACATACATTTCCCATATTTCGTATTATGGGGACTGCTAAACGCAGGACTCGACTTTCAAGCTAGGTTCATTCATATAGGTTTTATTGGAAAGCCGACATTTTATGACGACTTAAATTCTCATGCTTCCAGATACAAAAGAAGAGTTGATTTTGTTGGTGACCTGAGGGATGGTCATGCCTGGTTCAAACTGTCAAATTTGACCCTCAATGACACTGGTAGATACGGTGCTAAGCTCGAGGTGGTGGAACTCCTCGAAAAGTTTTTAAATATGGTCACTGCTACATATTTAATTGTGACAGGTTGGTAGTAGTTTGTACCGTACACTTAATTTAATTATTATTTATTGTTGAGGCTAAACTTTTTCTTCTTTCAGGGGCGGCGGAAACGGGGGGGCCGGGGGGGCACTGGCCCCCCACTAGATTTTTTGGGGGGGCCTGGCCCCCCTTGAATATAATGCCTCACACACAAAAAAAAAAAACGCATGAGATTTGGTTATGATTACCATTATTTATTATTTTGATATTACATAATTTTCTGTATCTAAAAAAKAYACGATATATCTAGCGACGACTTGCATCATTTTTGTGTCTCTCAGCACAATTGCAAGTGTTTTAATGCGCGCAAAATGTTACTGATTGAAATATCACACATACACGTTTGTAATCAAGCTAAACAGGGAGGGGGGGGGGGGGAAAGGTCATTTCAAGGTACCGTGAAATATTGGAGTGCCTCCCCAAAATTTTTCAGCTTCCGCCGCCTCTGTCTTTTAATGTACCCTTCTTAAAATTGTCTTGAATGCGATGTTCACCGAAGGAAATACAAAAGAAATGCCACAAATTCCATCGAGTAGAAGTGGGATTTCTTTTGGTATTTCCATAATAATGTTAGCCTCTCATTCGAGACAATACACCGCTCCCGCATTCATTGTTCTACCTCCCTAGTTAATGTTGCTACGTCGGACAAGCTAAAATGTGTTTTTGATATACAGCATGGAACAGACACCTATTGCTGAAAATTGTAAATGTCTGTCTTAGAATTAATGCATTCTAAAGGTACATTAAGGTGGCTGGCTACTTTGGCAAATAATAAACAGAAAATTGAAACTTTTTTGACCTGAAATTTAATGCTGATTTCAAAAATGCAAAGAAAAATGGGGTGTCCCGAGCTTGTTTTTGAAATGATAACTCCGGAATGACATGCGTTTGTACATTTTTGGAAGAAAAATAGCGAAAATCAAGCTCTGTAATTTTCTCCGAACACGTTACTTACACTATACTTATAAAATACGGATAAAAGTTGTTTTAATAAACTATTGTAGACAACAGAAAAACTTTTTTGCTCACGTGTTACGGTGTGCAAATTATCGTAAAAATTGGGCACAAAAACAAACAGAACGACTTTTTACATTGTTCTAATCAACAGAATTGTCTTAAACTTTGAAAAATAATGGGATATTACCTGTTATTCCGGAAAATAACATAAAAAGTATAGAGTCCCGCGTGCAAAATTTGAAGGTTTTGCTCTCTGAGTTTAAAACGTGCATGGTTCTTCAATAAAATCGTGAAGATTATTCAGCGGTTTTTGTGCGCGCGCACGTCGTGGACTCAAATCGAATGTTGAAAAGTAGTCAGCCACCTTAAGAAAAAAATCGATAGCTAATAAAAAATCTTCCGAATTCGAGTTTGTTGGTTGGACATGCTGTATTCCATTGGGAAAACTACCCATTGTTTGGGCGGACACTCGGGCATAGTCGGGATCGGTCTATTTTAGAAGGTTCCATTATGACAACTGTCCGTTTTAATGGTGTAGTATCACCTGAGTTTGCAGGCAAAAAAATTTCACTGGCAAATAAAGACAAGTTAAGATGGAATGTAAATCTCTTGTATTTTCTAGTTCCACCAATATTTTCACCATCTCTACAAAAGTACCACTACATCCAAGAAGGAGCAAGCATCAGTATTCACTGTTCGGCAATTGGTCCACCGACACCAAATGTCACCTGGTTCCATGTGGTTAACGATACCATGGTAGCGAAGAGTAGTGGTGTTGGAAGCGCCTTGCTAACAATACCTGAGATAATAAGAGATCACAGTGGGATGTACGAGTGTCAGGCCATTAATAACCCAAACGAAAGGCCATCCGCGACAAAAACCAACATTGTTGTCAAGTGTGAGCAAAAAAATTTAAAATATTTAGGAGTTCTTGGTGGTTGTGCCAATCTGCGTGCTGGAAATTGGTTGGGCTGGGTTGGGCTACGCAAGTTGATTGATTGGTTCTTTCCGTTAATAGGTTGATTGTTTGATTAATTGGCTGGTGGGGAGCTAGGTGGTTGTTGGGTTAGTTAGCTTGTTTGTAGGTTTGTATGTAGACTGTTTCCATAAGTCGGTGTTTTCGCTCTTTTGTCGGCACAACTCACAAAGGAGCAAAAACTACGACTTATGGAATGAGTCTAGTTTGTAGGTAGTTTAATTAGTTTTGTTGGTTGTTTTGATTGTTGTAGAGTAGCTAAGTTGGTGGTTGAGTTGTTTGGCCGTTGGTGGAATGGTTGTCGGTAAGTGGGTACTTTTGGTTGGTTAGCGAATAGCTCTTTGATTAGCGTGTAGTTTGTTATTGGTGTGTTGTCCCGTTGTTTGGTTAACTAGCACTGGTTAATGAGTAGCCCAAGGGTAGGTAGTTTTGAAATTTGGTGATTAAAAATCGTCAAGGCTGCGTTCATAATGTATGGCAGGGGGTGGGGG